CATGAATCTCTCATTTTGTTTTTATTGTTACCATCATTTTGTGTATAACTTTAGTGAGCATGTTGTGCCATGAGTACTAACATTTACTCACTCATTTAGATAGTAAAAAATGTATTACAAAAGATCGACAAAATCTCTAAACTAGGTGTATAATAAAGTTAAGAGGTTTAACTCGTATGAGAAACAGATGAAAAGAGTACAACTCAACTTTTAGAATTATTTATTTATAATTTTAATAGATTTTAATTTTATTAAAATGTTTACAAGTGTAATGGATAACATTGGACTTGTTCATATTCAAACTTCAAAGAGATTATTCAATATTTCTCAACTTAAATTTGATATAATACTCGTTCAAATGAAAATTTCAAATTTCAAAATTATTTTAATATTCAAATATTCAACCCAAATAAGGTAAATTAAAACATGGCTGTCAACCCTTTCAAAAAATTCAAACAAAAAATATTTATTTATATAAGTTATTCAACATGTATAAGGTAAATTCAAATAGTGTTGGTTGAATGTACCGATCAATCTTAATGAACATCAAAGTGTACATCTTGACTTGCCCTACTGTCGTATAGTCACTTAATTGTATAATTTTTGTGACGTGTTGATTAATTATATAGATTGTTTTGAAATTATTGTAAATTTCCTAGAATTCAACATTTAATTTTCAGGAGTGTGCGCACAAGTTTGAACGGAACTCTTTTTTTTGAAGAATTACACCTAGGGTTTTCCAAATTATAAAGTCTCTGTTTGGTATAAATTAAATTAAATTTTAATTTAAGTCAAAGCTAACAATTAATTTTAATTAAATATTTTATGGGATTCACAACTTTTCAATAATACATTTCAAACTTTTTATCAAAACTTACTAAAAGTTAGATTTTAATCCCCACCAAACAGGGACTAAGAATGAAGTACCCATATATGGTCCCATATTGTTTTGTTAGCAATGAAGTCTTTGTTTGACACGGGAAACCATGTACATGTCGATCGTGTGATTTTCTTTTCAAGCATAAAATTGTTAGGGGTCCGATCACTCAATTCCTTTCATAAATTTGTAAGTTCTCTTATGTATCAATGTTAGCTTCTTGATTCAACCCTTTTAGGAATTATAGGGATCGTTTCAACATCCGATCTATTTGTGATTTGATGGTTCTACCGTCGAAAAAAGGATCACATGACCAACACTTGGGACTTCGTTGCTACGTCTCCAATAGGTTGAGGATTCAGTTGTCAATTAGCTTATAATTTGTTTATTATGTATTTTGGCCCTCGTGTGTCGTGCTTCTCCTTTAATAATAATATTTATATGAGCACGGATCATGATTCAATGGTAAATGTGAATGGGGCCAATGGGCATATGTTTCGCGCTTTTTCAATAAAATAATGCCTAAGCAAGAATTTCCATGCAAATAATAACAATATTAATAATAAAGAATAGAGTTTCGACTTAGGAAAATGCTTTTTTGTACATAATATTTTACATAATGCTGAGGTGTCAAAATATAAGTGGGAAAGTTATCTGATTGATGAGATTTTGATCCAATTAAATCTCGCCACATCATCATCGATAAACCATTATGTAAGTCATGTACATGTAGCTCAATCGTTCTACTTATTTCATGGTTCTTAAAGTTCATTTCGCTCAAATTATAGACAATTTCGATAGACTCGAGGTCTCTTTCACTTGATTTTGACTAATAGATTTCAGTTTAAAAACATAATATCATTTTTTTCGAGTGTACAGATATTTGTGTAAACTCGAATGCAGTCGAGCGAGTGGAGTTTTCTCTGTATTCCATCTCTTTGGAAGTGACACTGTCACAGTCTGTGTATCTCAAAAAATTTATTGTTATTTTGATTTTTTATGAATTTCTATTGTCTTTATTGTATTTTTCTTGGCAATGTGACTCTTATAATTGAAAAATGAAGCAGAGGGGGGATCACGTTACAACATTTGAATCTTGACTTTATAAATAAATAAATTGATTATATCTTGAGGGGAAAAAAATAGTCTATAGTCAAAGCACTGGCTTTGACTATGTCTGGAGTGTAACACACCTTTTGAAATGAATTTTCTTTTTTCGAGTTATATTTAATTGATCGTGTAAATTGTGAATGTACAAAGTACAAGTTCAAAAGAAAATACTCGATCTAAAGTAGATTGTGAAGATCAAAGATACTTCAAAATTTGAGTTGAGTGTTTAGCCACTTTTACTTCGTGGACCGAAATTTCTTGTGTATGTTTGTCACGTCAAACTTCAAAATACGTTCAATTTTCTATCATTTTGATCATCAAATATAATCTTAGTTAGTTTTATAAGAAGGGTTCAACTTAATTCTTGATATATAAGGTTACTTTTCTTTCTACATCTTTGGATTTCCAACCTTATTCATAAGGTTCTTTTCATTCTTGACCTTGTCTAAAACTTATTTCATCTAGCACGTCAAGTTGGATATATACTTATCCTTGTTTGATGACCATTATTGGTAGAAAAAAAGAACAACGTTTTCAATAATAATTTTTACGTACAGAATATTTTATTATGTAAATGTGTAGTTGAAAATGAGTATATAGAATAAAGAGTTTTCAAATAATGACTATGAAACATGAACCATACTACACGAACATAGGGAATGACCGAATACACACACCTCGAGGGTTGGGTATTATTTTATTCGCTCGGGACCCACGTGCAATGTGAGGGTCGATCACCCCTTCGATCATCCATTTTCGAGCACTTCAGCATAATTCATGAAATATGGGCTTAACAACATTTTCGAGCACTTCAGCATAATTCATGAAACATGGGCTTAACAACATCTAAATTGTGAAAGCAAAGACATAGTAGATAACCACCGCAAAATGCAGAATTTTAAATTTGTCAAACGATATTCTAAACTCAATTTGAGTGAACGTTTAAGAAATAAAAATACTTCGAAACTTTCCCCGATCTTTATGATATTTTTTTAAAATTATATAAGATTCTTATATAATTTTTAGGCATAAATTCTTGTAATAACAACAAATCTTAAACCTCCAAACTTTTTTAGGCATAAATTCTTGTTATCAACTACAAGGAATAAAAATTAAAAACTATTTATTGGTTTGGACTGACTAAAAGGGAATCATTCAAGAAAATGAAACTGTCTATCTTGGAATGGTTCTTTGTTCCAAATTTTCATATTAATTCTCTAACAGTAAATAATTAAAATATTTAGGATTAAGGAACCAAAGAATATTAACATAAAGAATAGCCCATGCAGTCCACGAGAGGAAATTTATTCCCCACTTGTCTTATTCTTCATTTGTATTCTTTCTCACAACCAATTATTTTGTGTTCTATAGTTTACTTGTACATTGTACGTTGTTGAGTCGATATCAATACGGGTTGCTAAAGAAGTAAAACAAATTTTTATTTTCTTCGACGTTGATTTTCTTATATTCTTCGAGTATTAAGTCAAGATAATGTTTGGTCCATAATATTAATTGAGAACTTAAAAGAAAATCGAGGAATGCTAGGGATTTTCAAAATTACGAATTTTTTACATACCGTTGTTTTATTATTATCTAATGTGCTAAGTGTGTTGTCCCGAAAATACGAAAATATTAACAATTACAAGAAAGACTCGTTAAATAAAAGGGTCAAAAATTCAAGTCTAGAGTGGTTAGCTATGGTAAATAAAATCTGAAATTCTCAGGTATCAATACCTTACCTAGTTAATGGAGTTGGATCATAGGTTATGCTACGACTACTTGATGGGTTTTTCGATTTCTTACTGTGTCTATTGCCAACCGGTCTAATAGATCGATCGGAACTGAATTGATAACCAAGTCACAAATTTTCCAATTAAACCATTAGACAAATCCGAGTAAAAATATAATGGGTAATGTCAACAATTCATTTCAACCACATATTTTATGAATTCCATAATTTTTTAGTCGTACATTTCATCAATTTCTATTAAAGTTTACTAAAAATCTAATTTTAATTCCCACAAAATAGGGGATAAACAAATCTGGACATGTCCCTAGACCGGTAACAATTATCAGAAATATTGAATACACATATTGTAATGTTTGAAAACACAATACGTGAATCGTGAATCACAACTATAAATTTTCCTTGTTTTAATCATTTTTTTCATATTTTTAGTGTCCTAACTTCCTATAAGATACCGTTTGTGCCACTCGACACCCACTCCACCCCACTCTCTTCACCATCTCTTTTCTCTATCCAAACGGCCATCACCAGCTGTTTTTCCATCCAAAGTCCACCAAAAGTAGTCCTGCTGGTTATATTCATCTCTCATTCTTGAAATTTCAGCCTCGCAGACGGCGGAGATTGGTGGCGTCAATAGTGGTGAGAGGCAATGGCTCTGAATTTTCTTTCCCCAACTGAAATCAAGTCCCTTTCTTTCTTGGACACTTCTAAATCTTCTTACAACCTTAATCTCCTCAAAAACCAAGGTAAACCCACCCCACAAATCTCTTTCTTTATGAATATGTGTGGATGTACATACATATTTTATTTGTTTGGCTTGTTAATTATACTCATGTTAAAGATTATTAATTTGTGCTGTGGATGTGATTTTAAAGAAGTGTAGTTGTGTGTTTCTGTGTTGATGTATAATGGGGATTGATTTTTTTATTTTTTTTCTTTTAGCTAATGACAATAGAAAATAGGGATTAGTACAATTATAAGCTTTTTGTTTTTACTTTTTATTCCCCATGTAAGCAGAAACGGTAGGAACAGTTTTTGACTTTGGCTAAAATAAGAGTTACTTTTTGTTTCTGGTTTGGCTAAATTTCTTTGTTCTAAGTAAAGATGTATTTTCAATTTAACTTTTATGTCAAAATTAGTAATTTCTTTACAGATTTGATCATTTAAAAAATACTTACTTTAATACTCAGTCATTTACTTACAGATAAGCTTACATATAAGTAAAACTTTTTTGTGTTTTGAATTATGAATTTTTTAAATGAAATTTTAACTCATGTGAATTTCATGGATTTCTTCAGGTGAGTTTGCTTTGAAAAGGAAGGATGGAACTACTGTTGCCAAGGGAGTCCACTGTTCTGCACAGAAGCAGCCTCCTCCGGCTTGGCCAGGGCGGGCTGTTGTCGAGCCAGGTCGTAAAAGTTGGAATGGTCCAAAGCCTATCTCAATCATTGGATCTACTGGTTCCATAGGAACCCAGGTATAATATAAAACTTGGTATCCCCCTTAAGATACATTTCATTACTAATTCTTTGGCCTATTTCTTTTCTCTATATGCATATGCCGTTGTGGAACCATGATTGTATACTTGGAGCGTGTTGGACTAAGTTTTCACTTTTTATGCTTTTTGTTTCTAAACATGTTTGTATAAATTACTTCTTCTTACTCATTACTTAATAAGAAAACTTTTAAGTTTATCCAAACATGCTCTTGTTCTCAACGGTTATACAGCTGATTTTGAATATGTTGTCTCACGTATGCACTAATGCACGCTACTCAGTTTGTATAACACGAACAAATTTGGTTAAGGGACCTAATATTGAACTGAATTGCTTAGCTCGTATTATCACCTGTGGATAATAGGCATCATTTATGATTCCTGATTGAGTAAATGACAGGTTTCTGTTCTATGGTGCAATTCTTTGGTTGCTTACTATCTAAGTCTGCTGTGCAGACATTAGACATAGTTGCTGAAAATCCAGATAAATTTAAAGTCATTGCACTTGCAGCTGGTTCAAATGTGACCCTTCTTGCCGATCAGGTGATTGATAATTAATTAGTTTAATTTATGATATATCATAGACCTAGGAAATGCCAAGTGTTTGTAATTCAAGCAGTCCTTTCTTTTCCATTGCATTAGACCTCCTGTATTTATCAAGTGAGTTACCTAATGATGCAGGTAAAGAGATTTCATCCTCAATTAGTTGCTGTTAGAAATGAGTCATTAGTTGATGAACTCAAAGAGGCTCTGGCAGACATGGAAGACAAGCCTGAAATTATTCCAGGAGAGCAGGGAACCATCGAGGTTATGGTCTATCATACGTGTCATTAAATTTTCATTAGTTGGTAAATGATAATCTAATTCATACCTCATTGTTACTGTTTCATATTTCAGGTTGCACGCCACCCCGATGCAGTCACTGTAGTAACAGCAATAGTTGGCTGCGCAGGTTTGAAGGTATCTATGCATGTTCTTCCCTTTTGATGAAATTTATTTGTGTCCACTTATCTAGAATAAGCCAATTCTTTTTATGTGGCACGGTTACTGTAACTTTGACAGACGGCTGATTTTCTTATTCAAATTCCATCCTATTAGAAAGTTTAACAAAACAGATAAGGCTCAAACTTATTGTGTAGCAGCATAGATTCAATACCTTATTGACACTTCTCTTGTACTTCCTTGTTCTAATATATATGAACAATCACGTCTTAACTTGTTATGAAGCTCTTGTTAAATCTTTTCAACTTAAATGCTACACCATCATTGATTGTTGACTTCAAGAAACTTTTGCCTTTCCTTTTTTTTGGAGAGGGTGAATTTGGATACTGCAGTCGTATTTTGCTTTTGTCTTCTGGAAACTTCACCATAGGAAAGAGGAATGATCTCTTCCACAAACAAAATTCATAAATAAATCTAAAAGAAATCTGATGGCACGTGTATTTATTTTATTAGCCTACGGTGGCCGCCATAGAAGCTGGAAAGGACATTGCTTTGGCCAATAAAGAGACACTAATTGCTGGAGGCCCTTTTGTCCTCCCCCTTGCTCACAAGCATAATGTAAAAATTCTTCCTGCTGATTCGGAACATTCTGCTATATTTCAGGTATGTCTCTAATCAGTTTAGAGTTTCATATATACTTCTATGCTCACAGCTCGTATTTCACATGCTATTCTATTTGTCCATTCTAAGTGTTAAGAAAGATATGTTTTTCATCAGTGTATACAAGGATTGCCAGAAGGTGCTCTCAGACGTATAATTTTGACTGCTTCGGGAGGTGCATTCAGGTCTGTGTAAACTTATATGTAAAAAGAACTTTTAGATTGAATTCAATTATTCAAACAATTATGAAATTGTACTTTTTTCATTGCCTATCTTCGATCATTCTTATACTTCCTCTATATTTTTCTCTTTGTCAATTGTGTCAAGTCATAGTTAATGTTGTCAATTATAGGGATTGGCCTGTAGATAAATTGAAAGAAGTGAAAGTAGCTGATGCTTTGAAGCATCCCAACTGGAATATGGGAAAAAAAATTACGGTGGACTCAGCCACCCTCTTCAACAAGGTAAGTTTCAATGTTTTTCATTCTCTCTGACTTTCTCCTACACCTTGGTTGTTATTTAAAACTAAGCCTTTGTTTGACAGATTTATAGGCCATTTATATATTGTTTAAAACTTTATTTTCAACCACACGTTCCAATGGATCCACAAGTATTGTCTAATTATCCACCACTCATTTCTATCTATTTATAAATTAAACCGTTTTAAAATTCTTCCCAAACAGAGGCTAAGTTAAGCACAATGACAAATTTGAGATATTTTATTGGATGCTTTGTACCAAGTCGGGTAATTATTTCATTTCTTCTTGACAGGGCCTCGAAGTTATTGAAGCTCATTATCTTTTCGGAGCTGAATATGATGACATTGAGATCGTTATACATCCCCAGTCAATCATACATTCAATGATTGAGACACAGGTAAACTTTTTCCTTTGTTTTTGCCAGTTTCTCAAGTCTTGGACTAAATGTAACTCGTGCATTGTACTAAGCTAATTTGATTTCTTTTTGTGCTCAATATTATGAACCTTACATGACATGTTTTTTCCGTTTCTTAATTTTTGCAGGATTCGTCTATATTGGCGCAATTGGGGTGGCCTGATATGCGTTTGCCTATTCTCTACACATTATCTTGGCCTGACCGCATTTACTGTTCTGAGATTACTTGGCCTCGACTTGATCTTTGCAAGTAAATAGCACTCCCTGTACATAAAGAATACAATTTAATTGGCTTTATTATCTAAGTACATGTTGACAATTGACTTTCTACGCATTTTAGTTAAGTAGAATATAATTTTAAATATGATTTTCAGGCTTGGGTCTCTTACATTCAAGGCTCCTGACAATGTGAAATATCCATCTATGGATCTGGCCTTCGCTGCTGGACGAGCGGGGGGGACCATGACGGGGGTTCTTAGTGCAGCTAATGAAAAAGCTGTAGAACTGTTTATCAATGAAAAGTAAGTGTTTGCATCCTTTTCGTCGTTTTTTGGTCTTAGATTCTTGATCTGCATTACGACATTTTTTTCCCAGTTAAGCACGAACTTTATAGCCCCAGTGAATGTATCATATGCTATATATTCTTTCCATGTAATTGTAGCTAACGATTTGTCTCACTGATGCAGAATAAGTTACCTGGACATCTTTAAAGTTGTGGAGCTAACCTGTGACAAGCACCAATCAGAACTGGTATCATCGCCTTCGCTCGAGGAAATTATACATTATGACTTGTGGGCTCGGGATTACGCCGCCAGATTGCAACCCTCGGCTGGTTTGAGTCCTGCTCTTGTTTGAGTTGTTGAAGAGAAAAGCTACGCAATATTGGCAGAGGAAATTGTGGGGCATAAGCAATTGTGGCATGGAAGAAAATGAAATATGAGAATTTCTAATGGTTCATCTGTAATTGTAAGTAATAAAACTGCATGCGTTTCCTCAGTCAAATGGTAGTTTAAGTTTACACAAATGGATTTCGAGAAAATTTTATGTTGGGCCTCAAACTTCAGTCTCAAATGTTGGGCCTCAATGCTCTGTCAGTCCACTCTTGTGGAAGCCCAGATAAACTTAGCCCAAATAGTGTACTTGAAGCATCAATAATAATGAAAAATATTCTCTAGACAGATTTGGCATTTTGACTGGATTGTGTTGATGAGAATCCTAATTGTTATACTTTGTGGATACGGCAACATTCATAGTCATATTCTGCCACATTCACGCAATCAAGGGGTCACCGAATGAAGTCCTCCGTTCTTGGCTAGGGCCTCGTCTCTGCTCCCCAGGTCGAAAAGAAAGAGTCTGGGGCCAAGTTGAACGACATACATCTTGGTTGGTCGCACAAAATAGGGGTGGAAAAAATCAAGAACCAACCAAACTAAACCCGTTGATTCTGTGTTACCTTAAATTTAAATGGTTAGGTTCGTAAAATCAAGAACTAATTCTGATTGAGGCCGACGAACATCAATTAAGCCATTTTTTTTAATAATGCTAATTGGACAGACTATGCCACTAAAGGATAGAGATTGAGAGACAAAGTGATGTGACATATAATAATTGAGTGTTTTTATTTTTTCAAATTATCCAATCATGTGTCGACACGTATTCCCCATAATTGAGTTATTTGAAATTACATCTCACAGAGATATCATGGTCAGATTGTTCTACAAAAAAATGAAGTCTGCATTGTTTGTGTTATGCAGAGGGAGAAGCCAATTATTTATATACATGAAAAAAAACAGAAAAGACATGTTGATCAAGGTATTTTCTTTAAAATTTCGAAATTTTGGAGAAAACTCGAAAGGGGGAAAATATCAAAATCTTCGGGAGAATAGATTATTACAAGTAATCTTCCGTCAAAATCACCCTTAGTTTTAAAATATAAATGAGTCGAGTCGAGATTAAACGTAATCAAGTCTAACTTGAATCGAATTACTAAAAGAATCAATAATAGAAGAATTACAACATTATAATGTTAGCTTTAGTTAAAAATTTTATATATGTAACAGGTAAGATATGTACTCTCCCATTTTAGAAAAGAAGGTGCCTGCAAGTGGGAAAAGGTCACCCAATTGCAACTAAAGTTTTAGCGAAGTTTCATGTTAATCACAATTCTTTATTTTATTTGTAATTGATTATTGAACTTAAACTTTACTTCAAGTTGGCAATATTTTAAATATAATTTGATAGGTCCGATCCTCTACTCCCAGATAAAAATCTCTTACTGCTGAAGCAGCAAGAAAACCTTATTTATTATACTCTCAAACTCAGAGAATCGTAATGAAGATTATTTTGCCACATAAGCAGTGAAACGTTTTTATCATGCTCATTAGGAAAGGAAATAAACTTCGTATAGCTTGATTCCTTTAATATTACTTTAGAATACATGTAAGATTTATTTTTTTATATTGATTCTTCAATATATCCCTGCAAGGATTAAATTTATATTTTACTA